GCCGAAGTCTGCCGCTTAACCGACTGAGCCACCCAGGCGCCCCACACCTGTCACATCCTTAACGAGAGAGGCCAAAGTGACAGGCGGAGAAGTCCATGTGACGATGGGAGCATAGAAGATTGCAGACACGTCTAGAAGGTGGAAACGGCAAGGAAACATTGTCTCCTGCAGGCTCTAGAAGGAACCCGCCCTGCTGACACCTCCAATTCAGCCGTCTAAGACGCATTTCAGACTTCTCACCACACCTAGTGAGAGAGAAACAATGGTTGAAGCCACTGACTTTGTGGTCATTGGTTGCAGTAGCCCCAGGAAACTCCTACACCTTGGCCGATATTGCACGTGATTGCCACCTTGGGAGTCATTTAACCTTCTCTTCTTAAAAAAAATTTTTTTTTTTACATTTTATTTATTTTTGATAGAGACAGAGCACAAATGGGGGAGGGGCAGAGAGAGCCGGAGACCCAGAATCAGAATCCAAAGCAGGCTGCAGGCTCTGAGCTGTCAGCACAGAGCCCGACACGGGGCTCAAACTCACAAACCGTGAGATCGTGACCTGAGCCAAAGTTGGACGTGCAACCGACTGAGCCATCCAGGCGCCCCTAACCTTCTCTTCTTAACCTTGCTCATGGCGAATTTATATCATTGGTTCTGGGACCCAGTGCAGTGGTTACCTTAGGAGCCGTCCAGAGGCGGGGTGGGAGCTGGGCTTTAACCCCCAAATCAAACCAGCACGTGTTCCGGTGTTGGAGTTCTGTTCCCTTTTCAGGGTGTTACTGTCCTTCCCCAGGAAGGGGGGGGGGGCTGTCTGAGGTCACAGGTGTTGCTATTTTCCCTGCTCTGCCCGCAGTTGCCTTTGGCAACGACCCTGCTGGCATTTCACCTTTTTTCACTTTCAGACAAGGAAACCAGGGCTGAGTAAAATCTTTAGTGGCAACACTGGGACTTTGTGGTAGAGGCCTTTTTCACCTGCTGTCATCTCGGCAGGATTTTTGTTGGGTGCGCCATGGGGGTGACCTCTAGTTAAATGCTTGCTAAGGTAGCAGCAGACACACGGCCCGGTGTGGTCCTGGCCGCGATGCTGGCGATGTTGTGGATGCTGGCGATGTTGTGCGGAAGCTGATAGGCCCAAGTGCTAAGTGAGGACTAGTCTGAAGCCTTGCTTGTCCTTATATGGTCTTCAGTTCCGTAGCTTGGGTGTCTCGGTGGTGGTGGTGGTGGTGGTGAGAGGGGCTTGGTGGAAGTGTGGGATCTGCATTTGAGCACTCCCCCCACCCCCCCCAGGGGCTTGTTAGCCCATTAGAATCTGAGAAGCCTGGCTCAGAACCCCTCGGGGGTCGAGGACCCAGCGGAAGACCCAGCAGCCACAGCCAGCTGGGCTCCAGGGCCTGGGGCTTGTCTGAGCGAGGGGCGTACACCCTCCGGGCCGACCCCGTGCCTCCCCGCTCACTTCGGCCCAGGGCGGGCGCTGGATCTGACTCCTCTCCTGCCTGCTTTCCCTCGGTAGGTGTCAAGCTAGGGATGCAGTCCATTGCCGTTGCCACTGCTTGCACCATTTACCATAAGTTCTTCTGCGAGATCAACCTGGACGCCTATGACCCCTACTTGGTCGCCATGTCTGCCCTTTACTTGGCCGGCAAAGTGGAGGAACAGCACCTGCGCACTCGTGACATCATCAACGTGTCCAACAGGTAATGGCTCCCGGGCGCAGGCATTTGAGAGGTGCCAGCTGTCGAGCTCAGAAGGAAGCCCCGGCGGGGGGGGGGGGGGGGGGGGGGG